AACTCAAAAATAATGAAATTGTATGTAGGCAATTTTTCGAATTTTCATTTTTTTTTTTGCTCGAAAATTCAACTGAATACCAGCAAGAGACAAAAACTGATCTGAATGCTAGATGAGCACATAAAGAAGTTTTAGATTTTTTTTTTTTTTTTTTTTGTCTCACCTTTTTCTTTAATTCTCTTTCCAACCAAAACTAGGTCGATAGGTCGAGGTCGAGGAACATTAACGTCCTGATGTCATTTGTCATACCACTATGGAAGGAGAGTGAGCTAATAGACAAGTATGATATTGACTATATGTGTGTAAAATGATTAAAATAAAAATTTATGGCAATCATAGTAATTGTATTTATTTTTAAATTTGCTTGAAAGAATATAGTGCTCACTTCAATAATGTTGTCTTGACTTAGAGTCCGTTTGATTGAAAGAGTGGAATTTGGGTGGAAAGAAAATGAATTGCCTAGAACTTGTTCTCCAGGAAATTGTCAATTAATTGTACTTTATTAATATAATTTTCTACCTAGAAAATATTAAAAATTTAGATTTTATGGTGTTCGTTTGATTTTGTTTTTCATGAAAATTGTCCATTAAAAGAATATAATTTGTTACAATTCCACTTAAAATTTGTTTCCATTGAATGAAAAAAACCTGAAAACCCATTTTCCCACCTAAGTAGTGGGAAAATGAATTCAAGGAAAACAAAGAATTTGTGACAGTGTGGGAGGAAGGAAGTTAGAATTCTATTTGCCAAAAAAATCCAATCAAAAAGTGGAAAAATGGAATTCATTTTTCATGGAATTGTCACCCTATCAAACAGGGCCTTATGATTATTGTAAAAGAATGCCTTCACTCTTCCTTTCAAGTTTCAACAAGAGCCATCTCAAGAGGGAGCCTAACGGCTATTGTCAATTTCATTTGTAGAGTTCATCTTTAAAAGTAACTTGAGAGAGAGAGAGAGAGAGAGAGTTGATTTTAGCAAATTTACCACATATGAATCTTGTCTCATGCTTGTGATTTTACGTCAAATTTCTATGATTTGTTATTGTCGCAGAATTTTTGTTATGTGGGACAAACTTATTCTTGTAATTGCCATGAAGTAAGTGGAACAAACTTATTTTTAGTTTGTAATTGTCATGAAGTAAGTGGGACAAAATTATTTTTAGTTTTCCCACCAACATAAACTCCTTTCACATGGTATACTTTAAACTTCAATTTTTCATTCATCAAAGCATCATTTTTTACAAGTATATGATTTCGATGTACTAACGGAGGAGAATACAAATCAACTTTCATCTTCCAAAATAGCCAAACAGGTCCCGCTCAAAATTCGTGCCACAAACTCAATTTTTTCCAACAGTTAGTACGCGTAAGTTTAAGCGTGTGAGGCAATCAATCGGAGAAGTTACTTGATATGGTCAACATTTCTTCTCCAATTCAATAGGGATTCCTATATAGGTTAGGGATAAGAATGAATAGAATCCAGTTAATGGATTCTTGGATAGATACTGTGCTAAAAATGGCTTCTAATTGAAATGTTCCTTTCCTCAAAATGTCAATCACACACAAATACTCTCTTGTACTCATTCTATGGCTAGGGATTTTTCTATTATAATGATGGAGGATCAACGAAGACTCGGAAATTACTGCTGATTCTCATAATTTTCATTTATTTTGTGTTATGAAAGTATATTATTTTCAATTTAAATATTTTAATAATACTTATGTACAACTTATATATTAAATATAGTCTCGTTCATACGATTTTACTTTGACACAGTCATTTAACCATCATTTATGGGAGTATTTAGGGTTGGCCCTAAGATGTATGACCGCGCATGACGTCATAATTAACACGATGACATAAAACACAATAATAATAATAGCCATGTGGCGAAATTTAAGCATTTTGTTATATGACTATTATTTTATACAACCTAACAAGAACAAGTCAAATTACCAAATAGTCCATCAAAAAACTAAATTAAAGAACCAGCTAAATTAGACAATTTAGCCCATTGAGGATATGAAGGTCAGGACCCTACAAATAAATGAGTGATGCTTCACGTACATAATGTGATATCCATAACGATGTCCACTCCCTCACATAGAGGGGGACCCACTTCGAATACCGTTATTGACACTACATTATGTATAAGTAACATATTCCCAAATAAATTTGACGATTTTGATGTAAAATAAAACAAAAACGTAGGATAAGATTCATTTGCTAAATACTTAAAAAAGGTAATTATTTTGTCCGAATAATTGACATTTTGACTTGGTCCTATTTTCTTGCAGCAAAATAATTGCATGAGCAAAACTTGAGATCATCATTAGGAGGTAGGTCGTTGTTGACAAGTTCGAAGCATCATAGATTCTACCGAACTTGTCCGCATAATGCGTCAATACATTTCAATGTAGGTTGGATTATGCTATAATTAAGTTGTAGATTATAGTTAATATACTATATATTATGTTTTCTTTATAGTTACTCATATAGTTTTTACATCCGACCCGGACACGGATGAAGGACAGGGTAGGTTAGCCAGCCAGTGGCTCAACTGCTAATATTCATCAATGTAAAAATAAATTCCCTCGATAAGGGTGGGTTAGAGTGCTCCATACATAAGTTTCGTTCGTGAATTCTTCGACTCCATTGCATTGTATTGTACGGATGATCTTTGCATTGTGTGCATCATCTAGTTTCATCTTCATCGACAATGGTCTTTACGCCACTAAAATATAATTCATTTACAAAATTTAAAGGTAGATTACTAAATAAGACCATAATTTAGCATAATTTTGATAGCCTTGTACGGTGCATGCGGCTAATCACGACGAAAATTGTGGGAAGTGCTGAATAAGGAAAGAAGATGAAGATTGAATTTGGTGTCTTTCTTTTTTTCCCCCCCTCTTTTTCTCATATTTTTTCTTTAGTAATTAGCACATAACGTCCCCACATTTTAATGTTATTGTGGAAAACATTTATATTTTTCATTTTTTTTTATATTTTCACCCTTATTTCCAATGTCCTTATCCTAAAGGTTCTTTTTATCAATTTTCTCAATTAAAAATTGTGAAATGACGAAAATACAATTCCCTTTAAATAAAATAAAAGGAAAAAAAAATTACAAATATATTACCAACTTTTTTGAAAAGCGCAAATGAGTCTCAAATAAACTATTAAAAGGGTAATTAGCACATAATGTCCATACATTTCATTATTATTGCGAAAACGTCCATACCTTTTATTTTTTTGGCAATTCTCCCTTAATTATAATTTAATAGTGCAAACCATCATTTCTATCAATTTTCATCCAATTTCTCAATAAAAAATAGTGGGATGACGAATATACCCTCCCGTTTAAATAAAAAGTTAAAGAATTAATTGCAACCATAATCCCTTTTTTTTAATTGCAAACGAATCCCAATTAAATTTATTTAAAAATTAAAAAGTGCAAAGGAGTCTCAAATAAGTTATTAAAGAATTAGAAATTAAAACAAAAATATATTTTTTATTTAAGTATGAGGATATATTTATTATTTCACAATTCTTTATTGAAAAATTGGACGAAAATGGATGGAAATGATGGTTTGCACAATCAAATGTGTAATTAAGGGTGAAAATGTCAAAAAAATGAAAGTTATGGACGTTTTTCGCAATAAAAGTAAAAGATAGGGACATTATGATTATCTTTTTAATAATTTATTTAAAAATCATTTGCGTTTTTCAAAAAAATTGGGACTGTGATTGCTATTAGTTTTTTTCTTTTGTTTTATTTGAAGGAAATTGTATATTTTTTCATTTCACAATTTTTAATTGAGAAAATGGATGAAAAGAACATTTTGCGCAATGAAAGGTGGGAAATAAGAGTGAAAATGCCAAAAAAAAAAAAAAGGGTGATGACGTTTTTCACAATAACAATAAAAGGTGGGGGACATTATGTGTTAATTACCATTTTTTCTTTTGTTGTCAATTAGTTTTCCTTCTTGTTTTTTTAACGTGAAAGGCAAATTTGTCATTTTATTCTACGGAACTTTTGTATGAAAAGTGTCTTCAGAGACAGAGCATGCTAATGTATCAAAGATCGAAGTGAATGAAAGACCTTCGCTGTTAGTGGTTTTGCTAAGAAAATGTATCTTTTTACATCCATTTGTTAACTAAGTGGTCAACATAGTTTCGAGATAAAATGTGAGACGAGAACATGATGCATGATTTTGAGGCAAATCTATCGAAATAAGAAACAACATTGTTTAAATATGGAAATAAGAAACCATTACAAGAATCTTTGTTATTCCTTTTTTTTATTAAAAGGATCTCTCAAAATGATACCCCAAGAAATAGTAGAATCTTTTCTCAATAAAATGTCATAAGAAATCTGGTTGCTGCTTCTCCAAGTGACTGAAAATCACTTTTGCTGTAACAAAGATCAAGGGAAAAAGCTCTTCCTTTTAACATGTCTTAAATCTCAAGCCCATTCCTAAAAATTACGTGAAAATGGCAAAGAAAAGCTATGCAGACTCTGTTTAAAAGTAGATTATCAGAACTTAATATTGGCTTCTTCCTGAAATTAATCTTTCATAATCCTCAGCCAGCAACCCAGAATTAAAGAAACTCATTTGTCAATATTTTTTGTGTTCACAGAAAAGTAAGAAACAAGAAAAAAAAGGTTCCATATTCCTCATTTGGATAAGGATAAGAAAGCTCGTCAGCATCACCCCACCCCCTTCCTCTAAAATCTGCCTCACCATTCCTAATATCTCTTTCCCTCTCCCGAATCTCGTCTTTTTCCTTCTCTTTTTATCCATTTTTTGGAACACAGCGTTTAAATGTCATCTGTTTTAACTATGTTTTATAAAATAAGTAACTTAGAAGTAAATAAGTAGGTTTTTTAATCTTAACCAAACATGCTAGGATTAGAATAACTAGCCTGCAAGCTAGGAATGCGAAGAAGTTGAGGAAGGCTGCAAAGGAGATGTAACCAGAGAGAGAACCCTCACTCTTTCTCCATGTCCCCATCAGAGCCACTGCTCCAAGTTTCTTCCTTTCTTCATGTTGAAATAAACAAACAAAAATATCTTCGAAAACCCTACAAACAAAGCAAATTCATTTTTGTTTATTCCTGAAATTATTCAATAATAACATCATTATTATATGCAATCTTGTTATTATTATATAAACAAACTTCTGAGCATTCAAGAAGAAAGACATCTCCTTTCTGCTAGAGTCTCCTTTACAGAAACAAACAATAACAGGGCATAAACAAACCAGCTGTAAATAGTAATTATTATTTGTTCTTCCAAGAATGCTTCCTCGTACCTGCATTTTCTTGTACTGTATCTTCATCGGCCTCTCTTCTTTTAGCGCAGCCGCTAGTTTATTAAATCTCACCCTCCCTCATCAACATCCTAACCCTGAAGCTGTTGTTCAAGAAGTACAAAGGTATATGTAATTTTGCCTTTTGAGAAGTTGGATTATTTTGGGTTTTGCTTATTTTTCAAATTTGATTTTTGAAATTTGCTTATTTTGGTTATCTCCAGCTTGCTTTCTCTTACAATGCCATTGTCTTTTCCACATGATTTCAAATAAGAAAGAAAATTGATATGTATTTTGTTCTTTTACAGCATTCATGATCTGCGTTTCACTTATTTTGTCCAAGAAATCATTTTGATTTTATGCATTCCCCTGTTTTCCACTATATCTCTGTTTTCTCCTTAATTGCCAATTTACTTTCTTTTTCAATTTTATGATGTGCAAACAGGAGGGTCAATGTATCAATATCAAGAAGGCAAATGTTATCAGAACAATCCCAATGTCTAACCGGCAATCCAATAGATGACTGCTGGCGGTGCGACCCCAACTGGGCTGCCAACCGCCAGCACTTGGCGGATTGCGCCATTGGCTTTGGCCAAGGAGCATTGGGCGGCAAAGGCGGCCAAATCTACGTAGTCACCGACTCCTCTGACCACGACTCTGCCAACCCAACCCCTGGCACCCTCCGCCACGCCGTCATCCAAGATGTCCCCCTATGGATAATTTTTCAATCCAACATGGTTATCAAACTCAAACACGAGCTTATAATTAATAGTTACAAAACCATTGATGGCCGTGGTGCAAATGTGCACATAACCGGCAATGGCTGCTTAACTTTGCAGCTTATCAGCAATGTGATCATTCACAGTGTACACATTTACAATTGTTTACCATCGGGGAATACAATCGTAAGGTCAAGTCCTACTCATGCCGGGTGGAGAGGCAAATCGGACGGTGATGGGATATCCATTTCTAGTTCCAGGAATATATGGATAGATCACTGTGCTTTGTCACATTGTACTGATGGCTTGATCGATGCCATTTTAGGATCTACTGCCATTACCATTTCTAACAGCTATTTTTCTCACCACGACGAGGTCATGCTATTGGGACATAATGACAAGTACTTGGCTGATTCAGGAATGCAGGTTAGAAACGTGTGTTTGCTTGTATTCGTTTCTTGTTTCATTTTGCTTAATATATTTCTCGTAATTGACATAATCCCGAGACATTTTTGGATTTTCTGCTATGAATTTTTGCTGTTGTTGTGTAGGTTACAATAGCCTTCAACCATTTTGGGGAAGGGCTGGTGCAGAGGATGCCAAGGTGCAGGAGAGGGTATATACATGTGGTGAATAATGATTTTACTAAATGGGAGATGTATGCAATTGGTGGAAGTGCAAATCCTACAATTAACAGTCAAGGCAATCGCTATACTGCACCAGTCGACCCAAATGCTAAGGAGGTAATTTTACATTTTATTACGTATGGACATGTTTAAGATTTACTTTCTAAAAATGCAAACCTTTGTTAGTATGAAATGTAACCTAAAAATCCATGTTTCGTAAAAGAAGTAACTCGAGTTTAAGTTTGACATACTTTTAAGCACCAACAAGAATGCTCTTCATTTAGTTTTTTCTTGGAGATGTCTGGGAAAGAAAATCATTGGTTTAGTGCCTACAATGTTTTCCTCGCGAATCTTATTGACTTGTGAATGTGTTGGTGTTGGTGGTGGTGGTCCACTTGTATGGCCGCCCTGCTGTTTGTAGATGGTTACCAAAAGTAGGCCCTCCCAAGTTGGGATTAGAACCACAATGGAAAGAAAAGAGAATAAGGGTGCGTTTGATGGCAAAGACGGAAAAAAAATTCTAATTCCATGTTAGTTGTAAAATAAAAATCCACCAAACTCATGTGAATTCGTTTTTCATGAAAATAAAGAAAATGCAAATTAAAGTAGTTGTACCTTGGAATTAGTTTTCCTCGGATGTGACATTTTTTATGAAATTTGTTGCAATCAAACATGACTTAAATATGACAATTCAATTGACAAGATTTTTGTTCATTTTTCTTCGTTAACATTATTCACGTTATCAAGTGATGTATACGTTTTTTGGTTTTTTTTCCCCTACATTGACCTCATTTTGGGGATTTATCTTGTAAAATAATCTTGCTGAGGCAAGTGATGTGAAATTGAGAGTAACATGATGGAAATTTGAGTTCTCAAGATGTCGATATCCTTTCATTTCCTGTCTTTCTCATAATGATGAATCTTAACGTAATTTGTAATGTTGTTTAAGAAAAGTGCATACACACTTGCATTTCTCCCCACTGAGAACCTTATCGTTTGTGTAGGAATAAATTTGAGCCGATGGTTAACAATGATTGGACTTTTAGCCTCTGTTTGAGCAATATTATATTTTTCATTCTTATTCTTCTACTCATTTTCAATCACATATTTTTCAATAAAATAATATTTTACATCACATCAATAACTTTTCATTCTTTTTCAACCACATATTCCTCATCACATAAAAAAATGCATTCTTGACTGGTTTAGTAAGTGCGGGTTTTTGCATTTCTTTGAACAGGTGACCAAGCGCGTGGACACAGACGAGGGGGAATGGAATGGCTGGAATTGGAGGACGGAAGGGGACATGCTGGTAAATGGGGCATTCTTTGTGCCATCTGGAGAAGGCCTCAGCACTCAATATGCCAAGGCCTCCAGCGTCGAGCCCAGGTCCGCCGGACTGATCGACCTTCTCACCATGAATGCTGGTGTCATTGGTGGTCCAAGGTACTATTCGTAGAGATTTTCCATTGTCCAAAACGACAGCCCACCTCTTATATTGACCGTGTACAACAACCAAGCACCCATAAAACGTGGCTCTTAATTCTCAAAAAACGCTTAATTTGGACCAGTTGAAGTAATTACTAAATACGTATGCCATTGGTGAAGTGCTAATCTTTTATTTCTCGACTTATGCCTTCAAGGCATCCGAGAAGCGCATTATTAGATAGTAAAATTAAATATTGAAATACAAGTATCGAATAATAAACATGTGCCACTATAGGTTACGTTAGGTTCATGTGTGATGCACGCTTTAATTCCACATTTGTCGCTCACAGGAACTACTTTTCGATAACGGTGGCAAAATGTGGGATACATTCCTCAATAGCTTACTGAAATTTTGTCGATTTTGGTTACTGGTGTTACAGAAAACTCGTGACAAAAAAGTGTTTAACACACGGTGCAGTACACAAGTATAACATAATTATTAGTACAGTTCGAAACAAAAGAAAAGTTGAAGAGTCTCAAGAACAGATTCTGTAATAGGACAGTTGAGGAGCCAAACTGGTTTCCCTGTGGATTGATTTTGAAAAAGGTTGTCTTTTTAAAGTGGGTTGTGGGGATGTTCTTCTCCTTTTGCCTTTAGCCTTCAAAGAAACTGTAAAAGGGAAGAAAACGTCACGAATTTCGAAGTTGATTTATTTATTTATTTATCCATTTCTCAGTTGAGACTTGAGAAAGACAATGAAACAATTGTCAATGTGAAAACTACATTCTCTACATGCATTCCAGCCCATGAATGTGGGCCCAACTCTTTGAAATTTCATAATATGGGTCCCATTTGTGATGCTATATATTCTTACTCAACAACTTGCTTGTGCCCGTGGGGGCCTGCTGGAAAAGGACTTTCCTTGTCACCCATTTGCTTCTTATAATTCACCATTGAATCAATCTTGATACATTTACGTCAATGTTGATATAAAGATTTACATTATGTCACATAGATCTCCATCATTTGTCAGTATAAATTAAAATCGACTTTTTCATCTAATCTTTTTCCTCCATATCATTTCGATCATTCCTTCTGACAAATTTATTCTGTACAAACTGCAAAATCCCTTTGAATTCTCATTTGAGCCCTGAACTGAATGTGTACCACATTTACAGAGCGAGGTGTAAATGCATATTTGGTACAAAGTACTATATAAGATTAGACACTGAACACGATTTTAACTACCATAACAAGGCCAGAAGATGAGGTTTCTTATGCACCCATTTTATTAATATTTTATTTCTTTTTTATTTGTAGGGACAACAGCATCAGCATATCATATGGTGGTGGGGCCGCCACCGGTGCAACCGCAGGAGGCGGTGGGGGGTCCAGTGGTAGAGACGATGACTTTTTTGGAATGATATTCGGAAGCGGCGCAGCCCCAACAAAATCATCTCCATCCGCCATCATGCTTTTGTCTCTTCTAATTATTCTAAGTTTGTATATTATGACCAACCATATTGGTTCATTATCATTATTATAGTATTACATCAAAGAAAAATTGGCAAAAAATGAAAATGAATGAATCGAAGAAAATTTCAAAGTTGAATTGATGCAAGGGTCCCACTTTTGCAAACAACTGATGGTAGGCTTACGTTTGGCCTCCATTTTTCCAAAAACTTATTTTTTTTTCAAAATTCATTTTTAATTACACATTCTCTCATAAAATAATTTTATATGCAAATTCAAAACTTTTGTTTTATTTTTTTAATCACACATTTTTCAATAAAAATATTATTCCAAAATATATTTTTACCCAAAAATGGGACTCAAATAGAGGCTAGAATAGTAAGCAAAAATCGTTAAATCAGATAATCAACAAAAATCGCATGTGGACCCCTTAACAAAATGGTTTGTAAATAAGTCAACTTTTCTAAAATAGTTTGGTTTACGTTTTGGAATTTGAACGACGCCGACGGTTTGAAATCGAATCGCATCGTTTGAAAATAAAATTGTATATCTTAATAGAAAAAAATATTATTTTTTCCAAAAAATAGGCTAATAAATTGCAATTTAACTTTCAAAATAAATATATAACTACTAAAATTTCAATTCAAAAATTGATAATTTGATCAATTGTTCAAATACCAATAATTAATTAATTATCCTAATTTCGTAATGTCATTGTTGAGACTTTTATTTTATTTTGTTGGTATTTAGATTTATAGTTTGATATATATAATTATTTTTATATTTTAAAAATATTTCATAATCATTGAATTGACGATAAAGTAAAAGGAAGAAAAAACATTTGGGTTTCTTAAATCATTTAAACTGGCTTGATATGAAAATCTATAAAAATAAACAAANTAATGTATACTTAATGGAAGAAAAATTAGATTGAAGCGAGATAAAATAAGGTCCTGTTTGGGAGAAATTTTAATCAAGATTTTAATTAAAATTCTAGCCGGTAACTATCAAATCAGCCACCATTTTTTACTTTCCTTCTCACAGGTAGGGCCCACAGGTTGACTATAACGGCTATAATTTTGATTAAAATTCCATAAAAATTGCTCCCAAACATGCTCTAAAGATAATAAGATATAACTTGAAATTAATTAAGGTAATTATGGTTATGGGTCATATAAATATTTTAAGTAATTGACAAGTTATGACTTGAAAATTTTGCACTTCTTAACTTAATTTAATGATTAAAAATGCAAATAGAATTCTTCGAAATCTAAATATATATTTAATTGTATGGTTGAAAAATTGATAAAAGTTGCGAATCTTATGAAATGTATGATTAAAAATAAATTTGGAAAAAGAAAAAATGAGTTTTGAAAAATGGGAATCAAGGGAATTTTTTTTTTTTAATCTCTATTTGTAATCATTTTGTATCTATGTCCAAAAAATATAGCTAAAAAATATATTTTTTAGTATGTTATAAGTTTAGATGACAACACATAATTGTGTTCAATTCAATGAGTTCCATATTCTTACATCTAATTTAATTTATCATTTCACATGTTGTCATGTAGATTGATATTAAATATTATTGCGCTAAATAATATTATTCAGTTACTTCGAACGAATGGTCAAACATCCTATGTAGGGTTTGAATTTTGTTGTGATGATGGCCTAATAAAGGGTTGTGATTACATGAGATAAGATTTGTGTGGCTCATGGGTTACATTTGGGTTGAAAAATCAATTTCAATTTTTCAAATGCTATTTAGCTTGGGGGGCCTTCTCTATCTTTTAATAGCTATTAACAAGATGAGGATACGGTATACCCCATGTGTCGTAGAAAATTGCCAAAAATCAAAAGGTATCGAATGCTAAAGAATCTCACATCTCATGAATTTAATTATTGCCTTTGGACTTCTTCAGTTCGGTTAAGTTGTTTACGATGGTTTGCAGTTCTTTATATCTCTTTTGAGTGTACTTGCTCTTTTCGAAAATAATTTCGCGCAATGAGTAATCTGCTCATGTGGACATGCAAGATATTATAAGACGCAAAAGGCAGGATCGGAGTAATGAATAAAATTGAATTATTCTCTTAGTTGTAAGCTGGATGTGCATATCTCAAGATCACATTCAAAAACTTTGGTGCAAAAAGGTCACAGGTTAGAGAAAATCTTTGTCAACCTGTAACTCTGCAACCTTGTTCTACCCTGAGAGGGAATATATGGCCTTTTTCCCAACAGTATGCATAATTTACAGGCCAAATAAAGAAGGGTCTTTTGAGGTCGCTCAAGTAGCCAAACATGCCATGAGAATATTTGTTCTATAACAAAAAATGCAAAGAGTCGCACTTGTTAAGAATTAAGCCCTAATCCCAATCACGATAATAGTAATAATAATTTATCATTTCACATGCGTTGTCACGTAGATTGATATTAAACATTATTGTGCTAAATATTATAATTCAATTACTTCGAACGAAGGGTCAAACATCCTACATAGGTTTGAATTTTTTGTTGTGATGATGGCCTGATAAATGGTTGTGATTACATAAGATTTGTGTGGCTCATGTCTTACATTTCGGTTGAAAAAAATTTTCATGCGCTATTTAGAGTGTGTTTGGTAGGGATTTTTAGGGGAAAATTTGATTTTTGAATAGTGATATGATGGGAAATGTGTGGTTGAAAAAGAAGAAAAAAGTATTGATGTGATGGAAAATATTATTTTATTGAAAAATGTGTGAATGAAAATGAGAATTGATTTATTATACAAAATGAAAATAAGGTGGAAAATTATACCAATCAAACGCAACTAATTGACAAATCCCGGGAAAAATTTTCTAGGCAAATATTTTTCCTGGAATTCATTTTCTTTCCACCCATTTTTCACCCTTGCAATCAAACGCACCCTTAAGGAAATTATTTTTTAAAGTAGGCTAGGAACTAATTGAGGGAATTGATTAAAGATAATAAGATATAACTTGAAATTAATTAAGGTAATTATGGTTATGGGTCATATAAATATTTTAAGTAATTGACAAGTTATGACTTGAAATTTTTGCACTCCTAACTTAATTTAATGATTAAAAATGCAAATAGAATTCTTCGAAATCTAAATATATATTTAATTATATGGTTGAAAAATTGATAAAAATTGCAAATCTTATGAAATGTATGATTAAAAATAAATTTGGAAAAAGAAAAAATGAGTTTTGAAAAATGGGAATCAAGGGAATTTTTTTTTTTTTTTTTTTTTTATCTCTATTTGTAATCATTTTGTATCTATGTCCAAAAAATATAGCTAAAAAATATATTTTTTAGTATGCTATAAGTTTAGATGACAACACATAATTGTGTTCAATTCAATGAGTTCCATATTCTTACATCTAATTTAATTTTATCATTTCACATGTGTTATGTAGATTGATATTAAATATTATTGTGCTAAATAATTACTTCGAACGAATGGTCAAACATCCTATGTAGGGTTTGAATTTTGTTGTTGTGATGTTGGCCTAATAAAGGGTTGTGATTACATGAGATGAGATTTGTGTGGCTCGTGGGTTACATTTGGGTTGAAAAATCAATTTCCATTTTTCAAATGCTATTTATCTTGGGGGCCTTCTCTATTTTTAATAGCTATAACAAGATGAGGATACCCCATGTGTCGTAGAAAATTGCCAAACATCAAAAGGTATCGAATGCTAAAGAATCTCACATCTCGTGAATTTAATTATTGCCTTTGTACTTCTTCAGTTCGGTTAAGTTGTTTACGATGGTTTGCAGTTCTTTATATCTCTTTTGAGTGTACTTGGCTCTTTTTGAAAATAATTTCGCGCAATGAGTAATCTGCTCATGTGGACATGTGAGATATTATAAGACGCAAAAGGCAGGATCGGAGTAATTAATAAAATTGAATTATTCTCTTAGTTGTAAGCTGGATGTGCATATCTCAAGATCACATTCAAAAACTTTAGTGCAAAAAGTTCACAGGTTAGAGAAAATCTTTGTCAACCTGTAACTCTTCAACCTTGTTCTACCCTGACAGGGAATACATGGCCTTTTTCCCAACAGCATGCATAATTTACGGACCAAATAAAGAAGAGTAATGCTATTCATCCCCACTGGGGATGTAAACACAGTCTATGTGGCATTAATGTGGCATTAAATGATAGGTGAAATTAAATAAGTCATTTAATTTCACCTTTCATTTAACCTATCATTTAAAATCATTTAAATTGTGTTTTCATCCCCACTGAAGATGAATAACATTACAAACACTGTCTACGTGTCGTTATTGTGTCATTAAATGATAGGTGAAATTAATTTCACATTTCATTTAACCTATCATTTATTACCACATAGACTGTGTTTTCATCCCCACTGGAGATGAATAACATTACTCAATAAAGAAGGGTCTTTTGAGGTGTTTCAAGTAGCCAAACATGCCATGAGAATATTTGTTCTAGAACAAAAAATGCAAAGAGTCGCACTTGTTAAGGATTAAGCCCTAATCCCAATCACGATAATAGTAATAATAATTTATCATTTCACATGCGTTGTCACGTAGATTGATATTAAACATTATTGTGCTAAATATTATAATTCAATTACTTTGAACGAAGGGTCAAACATCCTACATAGGTTTGAATTTTTTGTTGTGATGATGGCCTGATAAATGGTTGTGATTACATAAGATTTGTGTGGCTCATGTCTTACATTTCGGTTGAAAAATCATTTCGATTTTTCATGCGCTATTTAGCTTGGGGGCATTCTCTATCTTTTAATAGCTATTAATAAGATGAGGATACCCCATGTGTCGTAGAAAATTGCCAAACATCGAAAGGTATCGAATGCTAAAGAATCTCTGATCTCGTAAATTTAATTATTGCTTTTGCACTTCTTCAGTTCGGTTAAGTTGTTTATGATGGTTTGCAATTTTTTATATCTTTTTGAGTGTATTTGATATATTCGAAAATAATTTTGTGCAATAAGTAATGGACTCATGTGGACGTGTGAGAAATAATAAGACGCAAAAGGCAGGATCGGAGTAATGAATAAAATTGAATTATTCTCTTAGCCGTAAGCTGGATGTGCATATCTCAAGATTACATTCAAAAACTATAGTGCAAAAAGGACACAGGTTAGAGAAAATCTTTGTCAACCTGTAACACCCTGAGTCCCTGACAGGGAATATATGGCCTTTTTCCCAACAGTATGCATAATTTACAGACCAAATAAAGAAGGGTCTTTTGAGGTGGCTCAAGTAGCCAAACATGCCACAGAGAATATTTGTTCTAGAACCAAAAATGCAAAGAGTCGCACTTGTCAAGGATTAAGTCCTAATCCCAATCACGAAAATAATAATAATAATAATAATAATGAAAAATATGATCGTTATTCATCGTATCAAATTATCAATTTTAAATTTTTATCTCTTGTGTGGGGCCCAATAACGATTATATTTTTCATTCTCATTCTACAATAAGGTGAGTCAAACAGGGCTATGATTAAGCTTCATATATTTCGACAGTACAAAGGCCATACATATTGAGACTAGAGTTGCATCAGGTACAAACCAGATTGGTTCACGTTAACATAATAGCATGGAACGAGCTGCGAGCAAATCACACATCATCACCAAGCTTTCACAAATACCAATAAAATGAAATAACCAATTATCACACTAGAAGTACTTCCAGAAAGAGAAGAAATCAAATCAACATTCAGCTCTTTCTTTAAATAAGAATGAAATGGATATTCACACAAAGCTCTTGAAGTAACTTGATCGCAAAACTCATATTGATTACAATCACTAATGTCATTATTAAGAAGACCAAAAATTGAAATGATGGAAGATACACTCACGTCTCGAGACGAAAAAACAATGAACGATAAAGTGTAACTGGATCAATACCCTCTCTTTTCCCGGGCATTTTAGCTTTCTTTCCAACTTTCCTTTGTATTAGACATACCTCTTCCCCTTTGGGACGATAATAAAGCAGCCAATAGATGAAAAGAAAGGAAAATCCTCGAGCATCAGACCAACATAGCTCCACCAACCCCAAAAGTTATATCACTCCTATTTCTTTGATAGGAACTCAATATCTTCGCAAGGAGAGAGAGCATCTAATGAGGGAGGGAGAACTTGGCTTCATAAATAACCAAATATCACTAGATCTGAGTAGCAACTTCTTCTAGTCTCTTCCATGCTAACTCACGACGCTCTTCTCGTACTCCTGCCCCTGCTTCCATTTCCTCATACTGTCTCTGACACTTTTCAAACAGTTCAATATCCATCTCCAAGAACATTTTTCGGACATTGGAGCTCAGACCAAGGATTGCCTGATTCCAATGACCTTGTATATTCTTTTCTAACGCGTCAAATATTATTGGCAGGATAACATGTCGGTTCTCTGCAATCAGGCTTACTATGTGTTCATTGTTCCACCAGAAAAGAGCCCTTTCTGACACCTGTCACACAGCATGAGGATAAATTTAGATAGCCAGAGAATAATTACGATGAAAGGAATTAAAACTTGAAAGCACGATCTGCACAGCCAAAAAAAGTGCATATGTTCTCAAAGGCACTTCCGATATTCATTAACCAATGTGAGAAGTACATAAGATAAAAAATATTAATAATAAATAACAACCAGCTAACACATACACCACATAATACCAATATGAATCAAGTTTCACATTGAGCATCTTGAAAGAAAAAAACTGAATGGTGGTGCATTCATTTTTCATAAACAATGTTTAGGCGGAAGAGTTTGATGAAAACATAAGCTTTGGAGCATAATGCTTGCACCAATATAAGATGCAGCGATCTGAACACTAAATTTAAGATCTGTCATATTGCTAAGTTTCTCAAACCAACCATGAAAGTAATGGACAGTTATCAAATCAAATTTACTTATATGCATGTCAGTATCGGCAGGCATGCATAAATTACTTAATAAGCAACCATGACCATCACATGACGCCGGATTGCATGAAACAATGAATGGCACTGTATGCAATACTGCAGTTGACACCACCAAGAGTCTAGCTGCTAATAGTTAGCAATGAATTTGGCAAAATATTTATTTCTCAAAGGTGAAAACAATCACATCTGGATCTTCGAATATACGATCAATAGAATTCAAAAGTCAAAAGATGAAAAGTAGGAGACTAGATCAGCAATATTTGGAAATTGGAAGTACACAACTATACTATATAAAAGGGCAGAATGGCAACAGCTGATCTATTTATTGTCTCAATGTGTGTTCACTATATTTCTAATGTTACGCCAAATGTACGAGTTAGGATCGGGTGTCAACCATCACATCGAAAGCTAATTGGTGTCCATTGTCCAGTGAGAGACGACAAGCTGAACTTTTTATGGCATTAGACCACCATCATTTGAGTGACCCAATTCATGGACTTAAGAGCAGTCTTATTGCACCCCAACAATCCCTCCCTCAAAACGACGATCATTTAAGTTATCCAACCCATGGACTTAAGAGCGAACTCGTTGCACCCAACGACCCCAACAATATGTGTTTTAATTATATCCTGATCAAGCTCCCTTTGTATATAATAAGCTCTTGCAATTTGATCCAAATTACACAAGTATAACCCAAAATCAATAGCAATAATGTAAAAACTATGTTTATGGCCCAATGATTGTATTAAAAAGCATCTTGATTAATGAAATGTGATCGGTAATTAGACCTAATTTAGGCAAAAATAGAAGGGAAAGATCAAATAAAACCACTACTACTTATTTTCTTTATCAACCTAGTAAATACAAAGACAAATATAACAAGATAAAAATGTATTCCATTCTTAAGCTTCCAAATCCATTTTGGTGATGAGATCTCATTTTTAAGTATATCAAAACTTAGAAAAAGATGAATTGTAAAGATGAAGAGAGTCGTGTTGACAAAGAGGCATCAAATACAAAAGATAACCGTAAAAGAACATAAAGTTGAGACCTGTGATATAATTATTTGTAGTATATGGAAAACCTTTAACGAAAGCTAAACAATCTCCTTTTTTTATAGATAATCAAAAAATTTTATTAATCAAAGAAAAATACACAGGAAGTGTATTATCATTTTAAACAAGAAAGAAAATATATGAAGTTAGACAGCCTCTCTATAGGATTACTAATCGCTGCATTAAACCAAGTATACAAAGTCAGATAAAATAATTATCTAAATTGCTCTGTGTTCCATGTTTGGTCTTCAAAGCATTGGTTATTCCTTTCCCTCCACACACACACAAAAAAAAAAAATAAAAAAAAATACATCACGGGATAAGATTTCATACTAGCTTGCTATTCTTATCATGAAGTTTTCTCCTCCATGCTCGTAACACGTCCTCTATACATCTTGGCAACACCCAATCTATATGTTGAGAAGCCAGAATACTGTTCCACAGCCAATGGACACCGTCACAGTGAATGAATAAGTGGTCATGCAACTCCCCATCACTCCCACACATATAGCACCACTCGGTAACATAAAATCCTCTTTTTCGGAGATTATCCATAGTTAATTTCTGTTCCCTCACAACCGTTCACAGTAAAAATGCCACCCGTGGGGGCAATTTGCAATGCCACACCATCATCCAAGGGAATGAACTCTCCACAGGTCCCAAGAGAGATCTAAAATAAGAGCGAACCGAAAAAATATCATTCCGTACCAGCCTCCTTCGGCTACGATCATCTTCTCCTACCCGAATTTGCACCTCATACAAATCCAATTCCCAATCCTGCAAACCCCTCTGAAAAGTGATATTCCAACTGTAACTCCCATTGTGGATGGTTAAAACGTCATTCACCATAGCAGAAGGCAACATAGTAATGCGATGCAAGGGAACCCCAACTTTAGCGGTATATTTCCACACTAACAATCATCCCAAAATCTGATATTATTACCATTCCCCACTACAAAAGTCAATTCCATCCTTGTCGAATATACCTCCATAGACTCACCCCGTGAGACCCGCGACTCTCACCCAAACACCATCTCCCCTCCATCACGCCATACTTCGCCCCAATGATTTCTCTCCAGAAACTCTCCCTCTCCACACTAAACCGCCACAGTCATTTGCCTAATAATGCCTTATTAAATAAAGTAAGCCTCCTCAATCCGAGACCTCCAATCCACATAGGAGAGCAAACAACTCCCATTTAACTAAATAAAGTTTCATCTCCTCTCCCACCCCTGCCCAAAGAAATATCCTTTGAACCCTCTCTAATCTGTTAGCCACTGCAGCAGGAATGGGAAACGGTGACATAAAATAAGCAGGGACATTTGATAGAGTAGATTTAATGAGAGTAAGACAACCACCCTTCGAGAGATACATACGTTTTCACCCCTCTAACCTCCTTTCCACTTTCTCCACAATAGCATTTCAAATATTAATATTTTTAAACCGCGCCCCTAAAGGGAGTCCAAGATACGACATAGGCAACTGCGCAACCTTACAACCCAATATAATAGCTAGTTCCTCCACATTAGTGACCTCTCCTACTGGAATAACCTCGGATTTCCCCAAATTAACCTTCAATCCTGACACCGCTTCAAAACATAAGAGCAACCTACGTAAATTCCTGACTTGCTCCTCAAATGTGTCACAAAAATTCAGTGTGTCATCCGCAAATAACAAGTGGGACACCTGCATCTGACCAACTGTAAATCCCGTAAGCAAATTCTCCCGCCTCGCTTTCTCAAGCACCTTACTGAGGGCCTCCATTACAATAACAAACAGTAATAGAGACAATGGATCCCCTTACCTTAGCCCTCTGCTACTCCGAAAGTAACCCTCGGGGGTACCATTGACTAAAACTGAAAATGATACAGTAGAGATACAGAACTGAATCCATTTATACCACTTATCCCCAAATCCACATCTCCTAAACATATACAGAAGGAACCTCCAATTCACGTGATCATAAGCCTTCTGAATATCGAGCTTGCATAGTATCCCTGGGACCCCTAGGCACAGTTTTGAGTCGATACATTCATTCGCTATAAGTACAGAATCCAAAATCTGACGACCTTTCACGAAAGTATTCTGAAACTTAGACATCACTCTCCATAGCACCGCCTTGAGTCTATTTGCCAAAACTTTTGCAATAATCTTGTACACCCCACTGACCAGGCTAATACGGCAAAAATCCTTAATATCAGTTGCTCCCGATTTCTTAGGGATCAGCACAATAAATGTTGCATTAGAGCTCCTCAGAAACCTGCCACGCTAAAAAAAGTAAGTAAAAACATCAATAATATCATGTTGCACCACCTCCCAACACGCCTTATAAAATGAGAACGAGAACCCGTCTGGTCCGGAGCCTTATCATCATTCATACTAAACACAACCTCCTTAATTTCATCCTCCCCAAATGATCTCTCCAACCAACCGGCATCCTCCTCTATAATAGTAGAACTCCAATCCCTCCAACTCCGGCCTCCACTCGAA